AACTGGAATTGACCGATCCTTTTGAAATTCCAACATCATCATCAAGGTCTCTAATTGTAAATCGACGGTTTGCAAGCACCAAATCTTTAATTTTTTGGACATGAGTTTCGTCATTTGAGGTGGATGGTCGACCAAAGGGTATTACGACTTCAACACGTTCTCTGCCTTCTTCGAATTGTTTGTACCATTTGTAAACGTTTCCTTCCGATATAGGAATACTCACCAAATGCCTGATGCAACATTCTATACGTTTCCACAAACAAACTTGAATTCAAGTTCTTTGCTCAATGAATTCAGACATTTCAAAAATTGCCGGAATCAGTTTTAAAGTCTCACAAAGTCATGCGTACCTCAAACACTAATGAATATTTTGATGTCGAATTTCTCACATATGTCAAAGTTTCTCACAAATGTTCTCACAGATTCCAAAAGATGTTCTCACAGATTCCATTCTACAAAGTTTCTCACAGATGTTCAGCAACCTAAAAAAGAAGAAAAAATTGAAATTCCATAAGAGCCCGGAATTTTAAATTGAATATTGGTTTTACTTTTTGGACACAGTACTACTATTGAGGGGGCTGACCCATATCGCATCTTGCTTCAGGCACTAAATCTTTAATTTTTTGGACGTGAGTTTCGTCGGTTGAGGTTGAGAGTCGACCAGAGGACTGTTCGTCTTCAACGCTTTCTCTATCTTCTTTGAACTATTTATAGCACTTGTAAACATTTCTTTTCGATATAGGAATGCCCGCTAATGAATATTTTGAGGTGAAATTTCTCACAGATGTCAAAGACAGTGGCGGCAACCTAAAACAAGAAAAAGAAAAAATAAATAATTGAATAATAAATAGAAAAGTGGTCTTACTTGCTGGACACAGTAGTAGAAAAAAAATTTACTTATTAGGCAGTTTAAGTTCGCTGTGAAACAGAGACTTGTGTTTACGTTCCCTTGAAATCGTTTCTTGATGGGTGAGAGTTCTTCACTCGCCGCCTTTCAATTGGAGATAAGCAATCGGAAAAACCTCTTTTATTTTTGTTAAAAAGTATCTTTGACCCTTTATCGGAATGGTTTTACCGCGATTTCATTTGAGGGTTTTCCAAAACTGTTCTGCATAAGATCAAGTTTTTGGAATTTAAACTCAGGAAGCGCTCTGCCTGAAGACTGGAAGAGAAGAGATCTTGTTCGAGCTTCATAATGTGAGTTTCTTTTCATATATTTTAATTGAGAAAAATTTATTCGTTTGTAAATAAACAATGAGTTTTTTCTGTAATTTAATTCGAATAATTTAATTGAAAAAAAATTTTTTTAAGTCAATCCCGACTTAGGTCAACAAAGAAACATTTTATTTTAGTTACTTTTTATTAAATAATTACAACTAATATAAATATGAACAGAATCACAGTATTAAGTGGCAAAATAGAAAGCGAAATTCCTTGCAATTTGCCATTTTCTTTTCTATTAACCGTTAATTAAAATAACCGTTAAAGAAAAATTAGCTTGCATAAAATTAACTATGTTTTGAATTGGAAATAAAAATTTAAAATTATTATTTTTCAACTGAATTTCTGCCCTGAAATAAATGTCTGAAGGAGCGTTACAAAAAAAGAATACTTTCTTTTCCATACTTCCTTAAATGAATTGAGTATTTTTGCCAAAAAAATGGTTTTTTACTGGAGTTATCCTGTAAGAGCCATATTTATTTGTAACAATACGTTATTCCGTGTTCTACTCAGGAAACACCACTCATCAGCAATCTTTAACTTAATTTGAATAATCATCAGTGAAAAAGTGTGGAACGGAATTTCGGAAAATAATTAACTACATAAAAATTATTTTTGAATAATCATTATTATATTATTTCATGATAGCCTACTGGTGGATTATTACAGCAGCTTAGTGCATCATGCAATATCCTTCTTATAAAACGTCTGGGGAAACGACCCAGTATTTCAGAAAAATAAAAGTTTCTATAGAAGGTTAATTACTCGAACTTCTTCATTAAATTACAATCAATTTAAGGAGTGCTTAAAATATGCCTGTTTTCAGTTCGTCTCTTAAAAGCCAAAATGACGCTTTAATTTCTAACAGTTCATAAGACTCTTATAAGTTATAAGCTATACATAAAATATTTATAGGTCCCTTTTAAAAGTTTAAGCTGCATTCACACCAAAGCACTTTCTTTTTTCCACATCTCACTCCCGTACCATGTAGGAGCATGTCTGTCAGCTAGAAATGTGAGGATGTCCCATTTAGACTACAAACAGCCCAGCGATGGGGAGAACAGTGCCTTCCGGGAGTTTTTAGCTGTAACTGCTTTGCATTTGTGTGTCGCCTGATAAGAAATCCGGAATCCTTCCTGCATGGCTATATTTCTGAAAACATGTGCTACAAGAACGGCGCCGGCAAAATTGAACCTTGGCACTCCTGTACGCTAACTGCTCCAGCTACCACTCATACACCAAAGCATTAAAGGCTCGTTCCCACCAAGGCGAGAGACGTGAAGATTCAAGAGGCAAGCGACAAAATTTTTTCGACCCCTTCACAGCGAAACGTCAGAAATAGCATTACGCCTAGTAAAAAACCGCTTCGAGTTGAAAGTTGGGGAACTCCAAGCGGCGAACTGCAAACCGGTTTCAGGCGACCGCGGTGAGGCTAGTGATTGGTCAAATTTTTTCGCTTGCATCTTCTCGCCTTGGTGAGCATGAGCCTTTAGAGTAGAGGCGTGAAACTTCGACTGATCATTAGTCTCACCTCCCCACGCACATGATTTATGAATGGGCAGCGCTTTATTTTCTTCGAGTTCCTTCTTCAACTTTTGGCCTACCACTTCGACGTCTGTCCGTTACAGTTCTAAATTTCTGATCGTCATCTTCATTGGTTCAATTTTTCTATCCAAACCCAATGCGCACCGCAGCATAAGACGAAGTTTTATTACAATGTTCAACCATGGAACTAATAACTCTTTTCATCTAACAATAACAGCAGGATGTTTTTTATGTACCCAGGTCAGTAGATTTAAAATAAATGCTTCTATCTGGGAACATGGTATTATCTGCAGGACATGAATGAAACTATACGTTCAAACTTATATGCTTAGTAAACTTGTATGCTTGTAAAATGGGAAGATTAATTTCTTTTGTATATGTATATTATTGAGAAATAATCACCTTCTTAATATCTTTTAAAACCAATAAATAATGTGTAGAAAATTAAGGAAAGTATTTCTCAAAAGATTTCAATTTAAAATATGTCAAAACTAAATTGAAAGAATAGAAAATGTTGACATTTTACTGATCCCATCCACTATTTCGGTTCATTTTAAACGGGATTGGGTGAAACTAAAGCTAAAAAAGAATTAATAAACATAAAAATTATCTTTCAAGTTACACGTGTCATACGGCTAATTTTAAATAATTTTTCTTATCAAGATCTGTAAAGTAACAGCAAAAAAAAAAAAAAAAAAAAAAGAAAGAAAGAAAATAGTAACAACACTCGGACTCGTATAACAACAGTAATAACAACACTCGGACGACTCGCTTGTCTCGTATTTGCGTCTGGACGTCTTTGAAGTTCTTTATTTCAGTGGACAGATAAACGTCTTTTCTACAATTGTTCTTGTGTTTTTTGTTTTTGTTTTCGTAATTTTGGAGGAGCTTATTTTGATTAACTTTTATGTGGAAACGAATACTTCTTTTTACCCATAGCCAATGACTGTGATAATCACTTTCAGGTTTCACCCTCTCTTATTGATGCTACTTCTGCCAGCTACTTTTGATGCTACTTCCCAGACGCCAGGAGAATGCCCGAGCGACATGTACACGTCCTTCTTGGACGTCGCACTGGACATGATCACCAAAGCAAGAACTGATTTCCCTAAATGTAAGTTGCACTTCTCTTTAAATAAACGCAGGACACAAACAACTCTTGCTATACGAAACTTTTCAAATTTCTCTTGCTGATTAACTTATGCAAGAGGTTCGGACAATGTCACATTAACCACTCAGGTTGGTTTGGTTTGTCCCTCTATGGTCATTCTGTGCACACTTTAGGCTAATTAGACCTGGACCTGCAGTTTAACGTGGATTCCGAACCACTAGAAAGCATTCATGCCACCGCCAGGATTCGAAACTGAAGTGTGTGGTACCAAGGGCCAGAACATTAGCCAATTGGCCATTAGGTCTCTAACCGCTGAGAAAGATACCTTGTTCGGAACACTTAAAAAAATGCCAGAGGAACCATACTTCTGGAATACATGGTTATAGAGAAAAATAGGGAAGAAAATTTGGGACGATGCGTGGTAAAATAAGTTTTATGGAAATGTGAACCTTTTTCTTCGCACCTCAATCCTGTACCTAGGGCTATGTAGCCTTATGTAACCCCTATCACTGAACAATGAGGGTGGAACTTCAGTGGACCTCATGTATGTCATGACTCTCAACTGGCAACTGGCGTACCGATTATGGACTACCAATGAGGGTATAAATCCCTAAACCGCCTCATCTTAATTCATAGATAGAATTACAATTATTATTGGATGCTTAATTGTAAGTAAATAAAAATTACAAGATAAACTTTCTAAATTAATTAAATGGTACTCAAAAAAGTTAAAAGTATTAAAAATAAATAAAAGTTAAAATCCAAAATGAAATAAAAAAGAAAAAAGAAAGGAATTTAAGTTAAGTTTAAATTCAGTACAATTAGGGACTAGTTGTCGATGCCATAAGACTATTTAAAAAGCAAATAAAACACTGAAAGGTATGCTTTGGTGATATCTGAAAAGCAAAAGATTATCCTAAAAAAAAAAGGCGATTCTTAGAACCAGAGTTCTTTTTTATATATTTTATATTTTTTATTCGTTTTTTTTATTTTTTTTGTTCATTCCTTTTATTTTTCTTACAAAAAAAAAAAGGAGTAAATTAAAACACTACTGAATGGGGTTGCCATTGCTAGAAATGATGACTAAAGGAACAGGTCAGAGTCGAAAACATTTTGAATGCCAACGTCACGCGATATTCCCAGGTGGTCACCCTCCCAAGTACTGACTGCGCCCAATGATGTTTGACTGCTGGGATCGAACAAGAACAAGAACCAATATATTCAGCATGGTATGGCCGTTGGCATATGTCATGAACAGTCCACCGACGTGAGATGAGAAGGACAGTGTCTTACGGGAGGATTTTAGATGTTTTTGGATGACGTATGGAAAAAAAAAACCTGGAAACAGTCTGGCTATCGATGTAAGACGATTTTACGCACATTATTGCGATCTCCAACTAATCTCCTCGTTTCCGAAAGCAGTGACTACAACAATACCGCCAACGGATTTGAACTTCAGAGCAAACTCGGTGGAGATTGTGATAATGTGTGTAAAATAAACTCGCAATCATGCGAACCTGTAAAATGAATGAGAAACATAAAGATTTATAAAGATAAAATAAATTTGCACTCTTAGGTTTGCAAAAAAAGTAAGTGATAATTTACAGACAGGTAATAGGAATTTGTCTATGCTGTCGGCTTTGAGTACGCTTTGCTGCAGACTGTTAGCAATAACTGCATTATGATGATGTGTTCCATGTCCGAATGCTACAATATACGACTATATGCGATAGATGTATAGGTGCAATGTATTACAAATAGCATTAGATACATTGATAGTATAAAGTGAGTGATAAATAGCGATAAGTATACATTAATAATATATTTATCACTATCCATCCGATATCAATATTATTCGCAAGTTGGGTGTGAAAGGCTTGGTTGCAATTCATGGCATTGTAGCATGGAATTGTCCTGGCATTAATTGCCATTGCTCATGGCAATTGTGCACGATAAGGGCACCATTGTCAATCAAGTATCAAATGTAATCGTAATGTAATGACGCATTGCTAATATTTTAATGCGTTGCAAACAACGTCGAATGATACTTGTTGACACAGAGCGTTATGCAAAGAAACCTATTCCTTGTGCTTTGCCCTCTAATGTAGCAGCGAGATCCATCAGTACCATGCGCACAATATGGATGTACTCATGTGCTGCAACGAGGCTGCTGCAATCATTTCTGTCGATTGGTATGTGAATTGCGTCTGATTACGAGTGCCATTTTCTCTACAGCATAATTCTAAATCTCTAAAAGGTCGCAATTCTTTTTCTGTCGAATACAGACAGAGCTCGATTGACATCCATTTTCTTTTAGGGCTTCTAGGAAAGAGAACTTTCTTTCTCACCAAAAAACAATTTTGCAGTACTGAAATAAAAAATTTGATTAATTCTTCCTTTATACAGCTCTTGTAAGCTGATTTACAAGCATCCATAATGTGCGTGTTTGCTAAAAATTTTATTATTTCTATATTCTGTCAAGGTATATACATTCTCTTATGTAAACTTCAGTCCTTCTTTTATAGTATCGACTTTTGTATGAACAACGGCATAATATATATATACGATTAAAAAAGTTTTTCCATGACTATATATATATACACTGAAGTGACAAAAGTCATGGGATACTTCTTAATATCGTGTCGGCCCTCCTTTCGCCCGGCGAAGTGCAGCAACTCGACGTGGCATGGACTCAACAAGTCGTTGGAAGTCATCTGCAGGAATATTGAGCCATGCTGTCTCGATAGACGTCCATAATTGTGAAAGCGTTGATGGTGCAGGATTTTGGGCACGAACAGACCTCTCAATGACGTCCCATAAATGCTCGATGGGATTCATGTCGGGCGATCTAGGTGGCCAGATCATTCGTTGGAATTGTCCAGAATGTTCTTCAAACCAATCGCGAACAGTTGTGGCCCGGTGACCTGGCGCATTGTCATCCATAAAAATCCCATCGTTGTTTGGGTACATGAAGTCCATGAATGGCTACAAGTGATCTCCAAGTAGCTGAACATAAGCATTTCCAGTCAATGTTCGGTCCAGTCGCACCAGAGGACCAAGTCCATGCCATGAAAAAACAGCCCACACCATTACGGAGCCACCACCAGCTTGAACAGTGCCTTGCTGACAGTTTGGGTCCATGGCTTCGTGGGGTCTGCGCCACACTCGAACCCTACCATCAGCTCTTACCAACTGAATTCGTGACTCATCGGACCAGGCCACGGTTTTCCATTCATCTAGGGACCAACCGATATGCTCACGTGCCCACGAGAGTCGCTGCAAGCGATGTCGTTCTGTCAGTAAAGGCACTCGAATCGGTCTTCTGCTGGAATAGCCCAAGAAAGCCAAATTTCTCCACACAGTTCTAACAGACAAGTCCCTTGTACGTCCCACATTGATTTCTGCGGTTATTTGACGCAGTGTTGCTTGTCTGTTAGAATTTACGACTCTTTGCAGACGTCGCCGGTCTCGGTCGTTAAGTGCAGGCGGTCGACCACTGCGCTGTCCATGGTGGGATGTTATGCCTGAAATTTCATACTCTCGGCACACTCTTGACACAGTGGATCTGGGAATGTTGAATTCCCTAACGATTTCCGAAATGGCATGACCCATGCGTCTAGCTCCAACTAACATTCCGCGTTCAAAGTCTGTTAATTCCCGTCGGGCGGTCATCATCACGTCAAAACCTCTTCACATGAATAACTTGAACAGAAATGAAAGCTCTGCTAAAGCACTGCGCATTTATACCTGTTCTACGCGATGCTACTGCCATCTGAAAATTTGCATATTGCTATCCCATGACTTTTGTCACTTCAGTGTATATATATATATATATATATAGTCATGGAAAAACTTTTAATAATGATATGGTTTACTAAAACATAAATTTCTTTGTATAATACGGTCAGTGTATTGTAAAGTTTGAAGTGAAAGTTTTCAGTGAAGAATACACTTCCAAAAAATTTCTCGCAACAGACAGACACAAAGCCCCAAATGATACCCGACACATAAAGGGCTTCAAGTCCTCTGGTTGGCATTCTACTTTATTCTCACTCTGCGTTTGTTTGCTGGTATGTTTTTATTTAAGTGACCTCAGTTGACTCAATTGAGGACCAGCTAGTTCGACTATCCATTGCGGCTGAAGCGTGCTCGAAAAGAGTGGCATATTTGGAACTTTCCGCCAATCACTACTTCGACGAAACCAATCATATGTTGTTGTGGGTGGTCGCAATTTTTGAGCATTTGTTATAAACAATGAATCACAGAAACACTTTACTATGATTGTTGTCCATAAACAATGTTTTTCGACATGGGTTCATGTTTCATGTCTCATGTTTTACGTCCGTGCCTTAACTCGCCATTACTGATCCTACACTCCTAGACAAAAGAACGGATGTTTTAGTAAGCTGTACTATCATTCAGAGTTTTCCATGACCATTAAATCCCCTTGTATCCCCTTGACAAAGAGACCTCTCTCTCTCTCTCTCTCTCTGTATAGTAGTATACTACTACTACTACTACACACACCACATCACTGTGCCGAGAGCTGAGTTGTCCCTTTACAGTTTGGGAATGATGTGGGTGAGAAGAAGTCTGATTGGGCTCTGTGACGCTCTGCGCACATATGTGTCGGAAAATTTAGTTAATTGCCGCGGTGTAGAATATAGAAGAGGCAATAATCACTACATTTTAATTAATTTACTAAATGAAATTGTATTATACATAAAGGTAAAAAGTAAAACTTTACAAAAACCATACTTTGGGTTTTAACTTAATTATGATCAAATCATATTGCCCACAGCCAGCCGCCCATCAAGCTAACAATACTTGATGGATTATCAATTTATACCTCCGTGCCCGACGTCACGACCCATTATATGCCTTCAGCATAGGACATCGGACTCGGGTGTAAAACGCAAGAGAAATATTTGCATGATTTCCAATACTTCGGCAACAATATGGGACCGGGACCTACGGCTTAAAGTGGATTCCGAACCACTCCAAACATCCATGGTACCACCGGGATTCGATCCCGAAGCCTGTGGTACCGAGCACCAGAGCTCTAGTCACTCTGCCATTGGGACTCTCTGTATAGCAGTATAAGAATTAATTGAATGAATGCAAATTTCAGGCTCGAGAGAAGAGGAGAGTAAACCCATGGACTGCGAGGCGGTGCTGCGCAGTGGCCGCAACACGAGCGGAGTCTACTCGGTGTGGCCGAGGAGCAGACTGAGCGGGAGTGGACCACTGGACGTCTACTGCGACATGGACACGGACGGAGGGGGATGGACGGTAAGATTCTGCTCAATACGATCCTGTAGTTGTAGAGGTATTTTAAGAGCGTAGGTTTTACAAGTTTGTTGTAAGGTTCTATAAAAAAAAGGCAACCAAGAATGTGGAATCTACTGATAAACAGTTTATTTAATCAGTAAGACTTAATTTTAGCGTCTTTGTCGCTCAGGTAATAGAAAAGCCATGCGCTCTGAGCATATTTTTCGCTGGCACCAGTGCTAGGTATGTGCTACAGATGGACATATTGATTTTACTGCCAAGTATTAAGATCTTCTTTTAAGTTTTAGATTTTGTCTAACATTCATATGATATTCAGACTTAAATTTCTTGCAATGAACAACTTAAAAATTGAATGCAATTCAAAATTTTTATTTTAAACTGCGAAACTTCAATAACAAAAAACTGCCATTCGTTCGCAATTTTTACTGTAGGATGATACCGATTAGATTCTAATGAAAGTTTCATAAACATCGTACCATATTTTGTAAATGATCTTCGATTTGGTGACTTGGTAAAATTGGGGGATAAAATATGATTCCATTGAATGTGTTCAGATGGAGAGATAGATTTGTAGCAGGCTCAGCTTTACCCAGGAGAATGCCACACACCCCTTGTGCCACCGCAGAACTCCCAAAGGATGTGGTTGACAGCTTCCCCCCAAGGTTATCGGAAGGAAGGTAACAAATTTATTTTGGCATTACTCAGTAATTACCTGCCAATTTTCGAATCTACATAGAATTTCAAACCCCTTTGTTCAGTGATTCTTCACCAGGTTCACAATTAAGAATAGAATTTAAAACACACGCTTAGCGCTAAAAATTTACTTTTGGATCTTCCCCCATTTTCCTTGTCTTACGATTATTTCAAAACATCAAAGTTGTTTGAAACATATACAAAGTCAAAAGGTGTCCAAAAGGGTTTTTATTACAAATGTATGGTAAATTAGAA